CAAAAAAAAAAAAAAAAAAAAAAAAAAAAAAAGGAATACTATGATTAACAGAAAGACAGAATGAAGATTTGAAGATTTAACTTGGGCAAAACTGCTGTCAAGATGATCGGTACTAAATTATCTCCTGGAGATAAAGGCAGAATCTTTTTCGACATTTTGGAGCTTCTGAAACACAGATTAGACAATATCTGCACAAATATACACTGCAGTGAATGTTGGTACATCATCGGGAAGGCAGACAAGACCATGAAACTGGGCTAGTCTATAAACAGCTCACTGGTGCACAATTCTGTAGTTTTAAAGTAAATCTGCATGTTACAACTATGCATTAAATGCACATTTTCTATGGTTTATACTAGAAAAAATCTCTCAGAATCCAGTCTACAATGATAAAGAAGAATATATGCAAGACAACTAACAAGAGATCACTGTAAGAATTCCAAATCTCACTGCTCTCACAAAAAGCACCACAGGGATTTCTTTTTATTTGTCTCAGCTCCACAGAGATCAAAGAAACCAATTACAATATCTGGCCCTTCTTCCTCTGCATCCCTTCACTGTTAATTGCCCTGGCTCCTGGACTTGCACTAAGTATAAATGAAAGCACTGGAATTGAGTCTGCTACTGAAGTAAGCAGTGCAAACTTTCACTGATGTCAACAGAATTAGGCCACTTTTACAGGCAGTGACTCTGCCCTGCAGTTGGCAAAACAAGAAACTCTATTTGTTCAAATGCAGCCAGACTGCATTCCCTCTAGGCAGGCAGAACTGTGGACTGAGGCAGTCCCATCTTTTCCATGCTGGCTGGGCTGCATCAGAGGAACAGTTGCTGTATGGGCTGCTGACTCACCATCTGGTTCCTGGCTTCTTTCTGAACAGCACATGATGTCAGTTCTCAAAGCTCATGGCATGAATCTCTCCTATGCCCACAGAGTGAAAGCTTGTTGTAAATACAACTATATTATAAAATGAAGAAAACAGGATGCCAAAGCCCATCTTCTAATTAAGAATTTACAAGACTGGCACTGAAACTTGAATCTCGTCTTTAAATATAAAGTCTGCACAAATTTTTTGACTCTCTGAAGACTCATTCATCCCTCTAGCTGAGCAATGATTATCAACTTAATAATCGATCTTCAGTTTGATTACAGCCTGCTCAGACTGTCTGGCATCACTCCCCACAGTTAATAGTAATAACAAGTCAATCCCACCCAGAGAAATGAATTAAAACAATTGAGTAAATACCTCACATAGAAGGGTGACATAGGCCGCTCATCCTCCTGGGAGCTAAAAACAAACAAATAAAATGTTTACGTAAGAACGCAGCTCTCGTATTTGCAGCTCACTTACAGCAAGACATTCACTCTGAAAAAGTGATAATAAAAGTGAAACAGCACATCAGTTGCAGAGGTAACATTTACGTCTACTTGGTCCTGTAGCTGTACTGCTTTAAGTTAAATTCTTTAAATCCTTTAAATTTCTCAGCAATCACAAATGTATAACAGACCCACTGCTAGACGGTCAGGAGTCACTCCAGCTCTGTAGGCATGCAGGGACTATTCCCATAGCAACAATAAACCATTTCTGTCAGCAGAACCACCCGAGCCTTTAGCTATCTGCTGTTCCAGAATTAAACAACCTGCCTGCTGAAGTAAAATTAAGGAAAAAAAGCACAAAAAAACAAATGACATATTGAGAGATCAAAGAAAAAGCTATGTCTGTATGCATACAGCTAAGAACTTCCTGGTTTCCTTTTCCCTGTTGAAAACTGATTTGATGATGCTGAAACATGGCTTAGCTGCAGATGTGTGAAACAACTGAAAGGCTGGTCTGACTGTAGCAAGGCAAGTCTGCATCAAATTCAACACAACTCAAGAGAAATGTGTGCTCCTTGTGGACCTGAGGAAACACCTCTTGGCTTGAGATCAAGAGCTGCTACTGGCTGCTTTGGAGCTCCTCCGACAAAAAAAAAAAGTGTTTCAGTGGCCAACTGATCCATCTGAAGGGACTACTTTATGCATGGCCCATCCAGCCTGCAGATAAGTAACTCTCTAACCCAGCTCACTAGGCAGCTGCATATGCTTGTGCTAGCACAAGGATAAGGACAAGGTGCTGGTGTGATAAAGCTTCAAGGTGGAATGGACTGATGATCATTTGAGGCAACGTTAGACTTTCCACTTTAAGAAAGGGTTCAAATATAAACTTTCCCAAACAAATGGTCAGACTTGCAGGCATTTAGCTCTTGTATCTCATTCAATTAGAAATCTTGCTTTCCTCCAAGCACACAGGAAATGCCACTGAGGTCGATTCGTCCCCAAAGGCCTTTTAATTGGGTCTGCTGAAGAGCAGAGTAAGCTTGGGAGAAAGTAAAAAAAATGGGAAGCTATACAAATTAAACAAAAGCAGAAAGGATAACATTTCACAGGCACTGGGAATCATGCATTCCCCCTACTGGTTTCCCACTGTTTCAGAAGCCTGAGACTACACCAGCGCCCAGCAATTTACCACGGGTAGCCAGCCATTTATATTGACTGAAGTCTAGGGATTTTCACTGCTTCTCAGTTTATTCAGAGGATGAAAGAATATTCAAGAATGCTCTGGGTGAGATGAACTCAGCTTTGCACTCAAGTCACTTGGGTGCACTGACTGTCCCGAAACTGACCAACTTCAAGAGATCTGAAGAAAATCAAACCTGAATATTTGTTGAGAACATGGCCTGAGTCCATTAGTCTCTCAACTTTCAAAGCATTTTATTTATCAGTCTAGAAAAGCTTCTGTAAGCACAGAATAAAAGCCAAAGGAACATCACCACGGGTTTTGTAGCTAGGAGATGAAATGCTCACACACACATTTTGTAGCTTCCACTGAGTCAGGAGGAAGCTGTCTAAGCAAGATGAGCTGAAACTGGCCTAGAGCCAGGTAAGCACTGTGCTCTCACAGTGAATATAGCCAGAGGCAGATTTCACCGTGGCTCATTTCAAATCCAGCCAATGTTATAACAGATTCACAAATATGAATGCTAAATCTCTCCCAGGAGAAGGGAGGTGGCAGGATCAGAAAGGCAGACAGACAAAGTGCGAGCAAGCCAGTACAACAGAGAACTCACAGGGGTTTCTACTGTGTTGCTTGACTCCCCACTATAGCATGGATTTGTACATACACAGCTAGAGACATCTACAGAAAAGACACTCCCATTCACTGTGATAGAATGTCACGCTGGCAGACCACTGGAGGCCTCCAGAAAAGCCTCGCAGGTAACACAGAATGCCACAAAGTGGAAGGAAGAGAAGCAGCTTCCAAGGTCAGCGCAGTATCTCTAAGCTTGCAAGGCCTCTCTAACACAACACAGACTGAGCGGTTTTCAGCAGCTCTCTGAGACCACCAAAAGCATGGCCGCTGCTGAAGGCCATGCTACAGCTTCCACAAGCCTGTCTTAAGCTACTTGAGCAAGCTACAGCTGGCTGCTACTGAGAAACGACGATGGTCAGACAGGCTGAAAGCTGCTGCAACCAGGGAGGTAGCACAGTGGCCTGCCTAAAATTAAAGCTAAGGAATGCCCGGAGCATCTTTGTGAGAAATTGTTATGAGTTTGAGACTGCTGTGGAGAAGGGAAGAGAACATGTAAATACACCACAGGGCTGCCTTCCAGAAGATGACATGGACACAGTTAGGAGCCTCTTCCAGAGCCAGGCTCTCTCCCTTGATGGCTTGCACTCTCTCAACTTGTACGCATAAGCTGATCTCTTAATTTAGCAAAAAAAGAATATAAAAAGCTTTTTTTTTTTAAAGCTACTTTCAACTCACAAAGTTGTTGAGAAGTGTTTTGCTAAACTTATGGTGATGGCTGTCCTTGTGATCTGAATGCATGCAAGTCCCACTGGTGCCTGTACAACATGAAAAATAAGGCATACATGGAGAAAAGTCTACAGAGCCATCAGGATTTTTACCTATCCATACAACTCCCAACGACCACAGAAAACGCTGTTTCATGTACAAGTAGCAGTTGTCAAACCCACCTTTACCAACGTAAAAACCCTTCCACATCTCCTGGTTTGTAATTAACATGCAGGTCACAGAAGCACAGTGATACTGAAAAAACCCAAACTACTTCCTTATAGTCATACTCTGAACTAGTTGCACAACAGATCAGATGTGGCAGTAGCATTCAGCAGGGACTCAGAAACCTCTTGCCCTTCCTTCCTCTTCCCCCACTGGAAGAATGATCACTGTTCCACAAGTTTAGGTATTTTGAAGCTAAACAAAAATCATTATCCATGCATACAAAGCAACTGAGGAACAATAAACACCTTATGAATATTAGCTGAGGGTTGGGAGAGAAACTGAGAGGGGAAGAGAAACTGTAGTGCTTTACAGTTTTATACATGCAGCAGATACGTAGCTGCATCCAGGATGAAATCAGTAACATACAGATTTTTGAGAAAAACAAAGAAAATATTGACTTGAAAAAGACCTTTCACATCCGAGCAAAGCAGGTTATCCATTTCCCCCACCTCAATCACCCTAAGCAAAGCATCCTTCCCTAACTTCATACTCCTTAGGCAACTCCTCTATGCAAGCTGGAAGATTAGAGCTGTGAAAATTATGAACAGATTTTAACCAGCTATTCCACAATCAGAATCCCTCCAATTAGATGTTAGATCAGTAGGCCCTACTCAATCACAGCCTGCACAAGGATTCTACTTCGATTAACGTACTTTATGAAATAATTAAGTGTTAATGTTGTAAGATAATACATAGATGTACTTATGTTATACACACAAGCACAGCTAAGTTCAGAGAAAAAAATGAATAAATGTGTGTGAAAGGTTTTAAATCTGTGTATATCTAATCACATGGTTTGTGATATAAGAGACAGGCAAGCAAACAAGAATGTAAAAGGTATGAATCATAAATGATCATCTGTTGATATTATGCAATAAACAGGCCTAGAAATTGGTTTAAAATCTTCCTCGCAGGATTCTTACTCATCATCACTCACGCAGTGCTGATTAAAATAAACCAACAATGAAACAACTGCTGGCTCATTTTTAATGCGCCTTGTAGTAAAGGGGATTTATTATACTATTACGTAGACCTTTCCAACATTTACTGTGTCCTTTCAAGAAAAAATGCCAAGTCATTAAGTTATACTCAGCATTCACCTGCACTTCACTTAGGCTGTGTAATTCACCTTCGGTTACCTTTGCAGAAAGAAATACTTAATATCTGACCTGGTAAAACCTAGTCAGTTGTCCACAGTAAGGAGGATGCAAGTCATTTCAGAAGTGCACCTCCTATACGGTCTGAATATCTACCTTGTCTGGTGAAGAACTGATACATTTGACAAGCAGGTTTATAGAAGTTATTTGTTTTAAAAACATGTGTTTTATGGTCAGAAGTCACTGAGTACATTTGAGAAAGGATAAAATAATTTGAAAAGAAATATGTCAGCTACTTAATCAAATACTAGCACTAAGTTGGCCAGGCAGGTGAATGCCAAATACAGCTGTTGCCTTCTCAGACATAAATACAGCTCCTCTAAGTGAAGGGATTAAACCAAAATGCATTGCTCTTTCATGCAGTATGTGGGAGATCAATTTCTCACACTCCCATGGATACCTAAAAGCCCTCCTTTCTTGCTAAAAAAAAAAAAAGCAGTAAAAAAAAATATATCAATCCTACTACATTGAAAAAGAAAATAGAATTTACTTTCTTTCAGAGTTTATTTTACTGCTAATGGAGTAATACTGTTATGTTTGTGATCCCTAGTGAGCTAACAGAAAAGTTTGTCAGACTGGAAAGAATGCCAGTATCATCCTTCAGTTTGCTTAGCTCATCTTAGGCTTTTAAGGCCTGTGTATTTGACAGCATTTATGCAAGGCATCCTTTCTGTCTCTAAAGTAGGAAATAGGAAAGCTTTGGAGAAGCCTAACAGTTAAACGAGTGGACTTCCTCCCCTCCCCTCTCCCTCCCTACCCCCATCACCCCATCACTCATGCAGCTTCACAAATACAGATTTTAGAGAGGGCTTTATTGACTTTTTATAAACAACTAGATTGTCAAATGTTCCCCCCCACTCCTTCAAGGTTTTAATAGCTCTATTTTACTTGCTACTAATTCTCAGCAGTTCTTCCATCCTCGTTTCCTGGCACTACACTACTCTTATTGTAAAGCAAACACTGCTTTCCTACCCTGCATTTCTTATCAAAAGTTACATGGGACATATAGTTAAATTAAAAAGACATAAACTTTTACAGTCCTGAAAATGTACTTTGACTCAAATGTCA